ACCTATAGAGTTTTTTGTAAAAGGAACCTTAGGGAAAAAGAAGAAAAACTTAAGAAAGTTTGAGAGAGTTTTTGAAAGTATCTCTGTCAGTTTTAGGTCTTAAACTTGATATTTAGCTCTTATGACGGGAATGGTAAGCTCTTTAAGTTTTTCTAAGTTTAAAGAGTATGTTTAGATAGCCATTTTAAAGATATTAAGTAAATTGCAAGAAAAAGGCCAGTTGGCCATTTCTCGATAGTTTTAAAAGTTTTTAGTTTAATATTCAAGTATTATATGTATTTTTTTGTTAAAAATAAGTTTAATTAGTAGCAAAACTAAGGTTAACTTAGTAAGAAAAAAGTTATAAGGTATTTTAAAATAATTAAGCTAGGAGAAATTTGTGTACAAGTAATAAACGGAAAGAGTTTTTACTAGTAAAAATAGTAAGCAAATTTTATATTTAATATACTTATAATATTTTTTTTAATTATAATTTTTTAATTTTATTCTTATTTAAAAATATGGCAATAGTACAAGGCACAAATTTGATAAAAATTTATAAACAAATAATGATAATATTAGCAAAATAGTAATTAAATTTTATATTTAATATATATATAAAATTTTTCATTTCTATTCTGTATAAAAATAATGATAATACTGGTAAAAATAATAAGTAAATTTTATACTTAATATACATATAAAATTTTTCTTTTTATGTATAATTTTTTGATTCTATTTTTATTTAAAAATATAGCAATAATACAAAAAGTAGATCTTGATAACAATTACTAGTGAAAATAATAAATAAATTTTATACTTAATATATATAATTTTTTTTTGCCAAAAATAAATTAGTGACCCATTGCACTATGACCTCTATATAATCTGCCAATTATATTTAGATTAGCTATCATCATGTTTAGTATTGTGTATACTTTTTTTTTTGCTATTTGTTTTTTTTTTTTGAGGCTTTTATCGTTATATTGTTTTTTTGCCTTCTAATTTTTTTTCAGGTTCTGGGCTTTGTTGTTTTTGGTGCATAGATTCTAGACTTCATTATGTATAGTGGGTATTTTTTTAATATCTTTTGAATCTCTCATATTCCAGGTTTTAGAGTTGAATGTGGTATAATACTCTACTTGGTACCTGAAACATTATTAGAAAAATTATATACAAAGGCCTTAGACATTTATAGTTTTGGTATAATTATTCAGAAATGTCAACTAATCAATCTCTTTTAAAAATAAAATTAGCTCGGTATGTTGTTTTATATCTTTTAAACTTTTTTTCTTTGGAATATTAGCATTTTTTCTTTATTAATAACTTCCACTTTCCTTTTCAGGTTTTATGATTTATAGTTTTCAGTATATAGATTATAGTTTTCAGTAGGCATTGTCTTTTTACCTTTTAATTTTTTTTTCTTTTGAATATTGACATTTTTCTTTGTTATTAACTCCTACTTTCTTGTTTAGGTTTTCTGATTTGTAGTTTTGGTATGTAGATTCATTCTTCATCATTTTTGGTGAGTATTGTTTTTTCATTCTGTAATTTTTTTTTTGAATATTAGTGTTATTAACTCTCACTTTATTGTTCAGGTTCTCTGATTCTTAGTTTTCAGTATATAGATTTAGTCTTTGTCATTTCAGTGAATATTATCTTTTTCTTTCTAGAAATTTTTTTTTAAATATTAGTATTTCTCTTTGTTATTAACACCCACTTTCTTGTTCAGGTTCTCTGATTCATAGTTCTCGGTATGTGGATTCAGGCTTTATCATTTTCAGTAAGTATTGTCTTTTTCCTTCTAGAATTTTTTTTGGATATTAGCATTTTTTCTTTATTATTAACTCCCACTTTCTTGTTCAGGTTTTCTAATTCATAGTTTTCGATATATAGATTTAAGTTTTGTTATTTTCGGTGGGTATTGTCTTTTTTCTTCTGTAATTATTTTTTTTGGATATTTGCATTTTTTCTTCATTATTAGCTCCACTTTTTTGTTCAGATTCTCTAATTCATAGTTTCGGTACATAGATTCAGTTTTCGTCGTTTTAGATAGATATTGTCTTTTTTTTTTTAGAATTTTTTTTTTGATATTAGAGTTTTTTCTTTATTATTAATATTCATTTTCTTGTTCAGGTTCTCTAATTAGTAGTTTTTGGTACATGGATTTAGTCTTTGTCATTTTTGGTAAATATTATCTTTTTTCTTCTAGAATTTTTTTTTGGATATAAGCATTTTTCTTTGTTATTAACTTCCATTTTTTTGTTAAGGTTTTCTGATTCATAGTTTTCAGTACATAAAGTTGAAACTTTAATAGTTTAGATAGTATAGCAAATATTATAAAAACAGAAAAAGTATGTTCAAGCATTTAATTCTACATATAAATATTATTATCAATTGTGATACTTGAGATTTAAACTTTGTTGTTTTCAGTGGTATTGTCTTATTTCTTCGAGAATTTTTTATTTTTTTGGATATTAGCAGTTTTCTTTATTATTAACTCCCACTTTCTTGTTCAAATTTTCTGATTTATAGTTTTCAGTATATAGATTCAGTCTTTGCTGTTTTTAGTAAATATCGTCTTTTTCTTCTATAATTTTTTTTTTAGATATTAGTGTTTTTCTTCATTATTAACTTCTACTTTCTTGTTCAGGTTCTTTAATTTGTAGTTTCAGTATATGGATTCAGACTTTATCATTTTTGGTATGTATTGCCTTTTTCTTTCTGTAATTTTTTTTGGATATTAGCATTTTTTCTTTGTTATTAACTTCTATTTTCTTGTTTATATTTTTGATTTGTAGTTTTCAGTACGTGGATTCAAGTTTTGTTATTTTAAGTGAGTATTGTCTTTTTCCTTCTGTAATTTTTTTGGATATTGGCATTTTTTCATTATTATTAACTTCCAATTTCTTGTTCAGGTTCTTTAATTCATAGTTTTTGGTACATAGATTTAGTCTTCATTGTTTTCGGTGGGTATTGTCTTTTTTTTTCTAAAATTTTTTTTTTGATATTAGTATTTTTCTTCGTTATTAACACCCATTTTCTTGTTCAGATTCTCTGATTTGTAGTTTTCAGTACATGAATTTAGTCTTTGTCATTTTTGGTAAATATTATCATTTTTCTTCTAAAATTTTTTTTTGGATATTAGCATTTCTCTTCATTATTAACTCCCACTTTTTTGTGATTTGTAGTTTTCAGTATATAGATTCAGACTTTATCATTTTCGGTAGTATTGTCTTTTTCCTTCTGGAATTTTTTATTTTTTTTTGGATATTAGCAGTTTTCTTCATTATTAACTTCCACTTTCTTGTTTAGGTTTTCTGATTCATAGTTTTCAGTATATAGATTCAGTTTTTGTCTTTTTTAGTAAATATTGTCTTTTTTCTTCTGTAATTTTTTTTTAGATATTAGCATTTTTCTTCATTATTAATTCTCACTTTCTTGTTCAGATTTTCTGATTCGTAGTTTTTAGTATGTGAATTCAGATTTTGTCATTTTTAGTGAGTATTGTCTTTTTCCTTTTGTAATTTTTTTTAGATATTAGTTTTTTTTTTATTATTAACTTTCACTTTCTTGTTCAAGTTCTCTAATTTGTAGGTTTTAGTATATGGATTTAGTCTTCGTTGTTTTTGGTGAGTATTGTCTTTTTTCTTTTAAAATTTTTTTTTTTAAATATTAGTGTTTCTCTTTGTTATTTACTTCACTTTCTTGTTTAGATTCTCTGATTTGTAGTTTTTAGTACGTGGATTTAGGCTTCATCATTTTTAAAGGGTATTGTCTTTTTTCTTCTAGATTTTTTTTTGGGTATTAGTGTTTTTTTAATTATTAACTCCTACTTTTTTGTTCTGGTTCTTTGATTTGTAGTTTTTAGTATATAGATTCAGGTTTCATCATTTTTAGTAGATATTATTTTATTTCTTTGATAATTGTTTTTTAGATATTAGCAGTTTTTTTCGTTATTAACTCCCACTTTCTTGTTCAGGTTCTCTAATTTATAGCTTTTGGTATGTAGATTCAAGTTTTATCATTTTTGGTGGATATTGTCTTTTCTATTTAGAAATTTTTTTTTTAGATATTAGTATTACTAGCCTACCTTTTTTAGTTTCAGGATTCATAGTTTTTCAGTATAAAGGTTCAAGGCTTTGTGGTTTTTAGTGAGTATTATCTTTTTACCTTTTGATCTTTTTTTTTGATATTGGTGTTTTTCTTTATTAACTCTCAGGTATCCAAATTCATAGTTCTTGGTGTCTTTTTACCTATTGAATTTTTAGTTTGAATATTTATGTTTTTTCTTCATTTTTAACTTTCACTAACTTCTTTTTTTAGATACTGGGATTTGTAGATTCAGTGTGTAGTTTTCATGTTTTGCATTTTCCAGTTTCATTGTTTTTAATAGTATTGCTTTACTTTTTAAATTTTTTTTATTTTTACTAACTTGAGCTGTTTTACAATTCATAACTGAATTTTGCCTAGTTATTTGTTTAATGAAGTGGGTAGGTTGGTTCGATTCTACCATTAGAGCGAATAGACAGTTTTTATTTTTTGTCTGTTTTGGTTTTTAATATATAGCAATATTCATTATATAATGCCTTTTTTTTTATTAATAAAAAATTTTAAAAGTGGCTGATTCTATGTTTTTTTGCTATACAATAATGTTCTTATGCAATATTTATTTATTTCTTTTCTTTATTGTTGTGTGTATTGAACCTAATTGGTTGTTTATTGAGACTATTTAATCAAAGTTAATCACATATCACATGATTCATGTGATCAAATTTGATTAGACAATTATAGATTGCTATGGCAATGAGTTGCTAAAAAACAACACTCTTTTTCTTTTCATATATAATTTTTGATTCTATTTTTATTTAAAAATATGATGATATTACAAAATGTAGATCTGGATAATAATTCAGAAACAAATAATAATAATACTAACAAATATAGCAAGTAAATTTTATATTTAATATATATATAATTTTTTTATATAATTTTTTAATTCTATCTTATTTAAACATATGATGATAGTACAAAATATAGATCCAAATAACAATTCAAAAACAAATAATAATAATACCAGTGAAAATAATAACAATTTAAAAACAAATAATAATAATATCAGTGAAAATAATAACAATTCAAAAACAAATAATGATAATACTAGTGAAAATAATAAAAATTCAAAAACAAATAATAATAATACTAGTGAAAATAATAACAATTCAAAAACAAATAATGATAATACTAGTAAAAATAATAAATAAAGTTTATACTTAATATATATATAAAATTTTCTTTTTATATAAGATATTTTGATTCTATTTTTTATTTAAAAATATAGCAATAGTGCAAAGTATAGATTTAGATTACAATTTAGAAACAAATAATAATACCAATAAAAATAGTAAGTAAATTTTATACTTTTAATATACTAGATTACTATTCAAGAGACTTTTTAAAGTGAATTTACTAGTAGATTTGTAGATATAAATTTTGTATTGTAATGTATGTATTTATCTATACATATACTAATTTTTTTTTTTTTTTTTTGGTACAGTCATCTCCCTCTATAGTTACCTCCTCTATAGTCACAAAATCAATATAATCACATTTATTTTTTTACCAACTCTTTTTATATTATTTATACCTTTA